CTCCCTGGCTGGGGACGTTGGGATGACCGTAACCGATGGTTAGAAACACTGAGCGATATGGCTGGGTGTCGTAAACCTTAGACCACCGAACTTCTCCATTTTCTTTTCGACTCCACTTTCAACTTTCCTTTCTTCGATTCTTCATCCCAATGGGCAGCCAAAAGACAGCAACCAAAACCGGCGCACGAAAGTGCATGGTTAATGGTTGTTCAAACTGAAAAAAAACTGTGTGATGGACAACAGATGGGGTGGAACCCCATAGTCACGAAAACTTGCTGTTCATTAATTACAAGCGACAACCTAGCCCTGGGACTTGTAGTCGCGAACCAGATAAGGCCCTGCTAGGTCAAGCGTGGTATCGAACCGGGCGACAGCAAAGCTGTCTACCACCAAATTAAGATGGCGATGGTGGGGCTCGAACCTCAAACCACAGGGTCCAAAGCACATCGGTGACAGAGACTAAACCACTGTGCCACCACCACCCCTAATTTAGAGTAGGTNTGTGGGCCTTTATGGTCAAGGGTGTTCCGGTATTCCTTGTACCTGCAGGGCAGCAGGTTAATAGCGATGACCTTATTTGATGTCGAGTCAGTGTGTTGAAATCTTCACTGAGAAAATGGGATATTATCTAACTTCTTGATTCTTTAGTTGGTTTTCACATCGTTCGCACCTCGGTTACTTTCTTCCAACACTCGGGTCGTGTTTTCTATTGTGCTCGAAGGCATCCGTCAATGGTCTTCTCGTTCCACGACTCAGTGGATTGGATGCTTAGTAGACAAATCTGGACGATGGTAAATCTGGTGGCTCTGTCGGGAAAGATTAAAAACCGGAAAATTTTCGAAAACGACGTTTCTGATTTTGTGCCATTGTATCGCGACCTGGTTTATGGATCAAAAACTAAAGGAGAGATTCGACTAAAGACACTCACGAAAACGGGTGGGTGTCTGGACAACACGAACCTACAAGTCGGATGAAAGCGACTTCAAGGTGACCGTAAGCGTCTCCATAACGGAGGACTCACCGACCCACCTTAACGCGTGTCAGTAGACACTACCAACAGAAAACTTTTGTTGGTAGTGATTAGGATGTTAGGAAGAATGAATTTTCCCGGGAATGTACACCAAGTCATTGTTCAACATCAGAACGCATCGGAATGTAATTTCGGGTTGACCAGAATAGTTTAGAAAATTTGAAAAGTTTGTGTCCATACGACCAAATGCAATACTATTGTCAGGGAACACCTAGTTTTACCGTGAAGTTCTCGCATGATCAGTGCAAGAGGAATTCACACTAATCACCTCGTGGGAAATTGCCGGTGTTTCTTCGGTGTTACTGGATTGGCCTCAACTGAGGTAACGGACAGATTACTGTTACCTGGTTGGTCAAATTGCTCCATTGGTGCTCACGTATTTTCCAACCGGAGAAAATCTAGGATGTGTGCAACCCTAATAATATAGCCCATTTCTCTCTACTATTGAGCGCATTTTTCTGGTGCTTCCAATAAATGTTCTCACTGTTTTCAATTATTTTGTAACTCAAAATCGTTCGGAAACTTATCATGGGACAAGGTTGCATAATAGATTGGCAAGCGCAACAACAATTGTTTAGCGGTTTGTCCTACGTGTCCGGCCAATTCTATCCCACTGACTGAAAAGTAAAAGTCAGCTACTTCAGCCCAGCGCAAACCACTAAGTGTTCTTGTCAAGTACAAACTTCCCGCATAAGAAGCAACCCCATTTCCTTTGTATCTTCTCATTAAATTCTTACCCGCTTCCATTGTATATCTTATAATATTTATGGTGCTCACAGCTCTCATCTCTTAAATTTGCCCATTCCTCATTGACCATAGGGGCAGCCCATAGAACCATCAAACCATCGCGCCACATTGTAAACTTACTGGTTGCTAGAACAGAACTGAGTTAGATTTGCCACGGACTGTTAACGAAAATATGTCTGACGAGCAAAAGAATTCATAGGCGCATTCATAGCACACAATTGTTTAGCGATGAACATATTTTTGTCTCTTTTGGGTTATGCAATGCTCCAAATCCCCGCACAAGGTTTTCTAACAAACTGAAATAAAGTTTTTTTTATGATCGGGTGCAATGCGCCTTGGATCTGACAGGGGAAAAGCTGCCTACCCTCAATCTGTCAGCAAAAATAGCAGGAGAAAATGATTCCGTCAGACGGCTCAGGAATTTATCAGTGCATATTATATTATTATATTTCACACTTTTCTCGGGCCAGAATGTGTGCCAAGCGATTTAGATCATTTCGGCCTGAGGTATGGCGTTGCATCTGCACTAATGTTTCCAGTTTCGGTCTCCTATTTCATTTTGCAACCTGTGGTCATAGGTTTTATTCCTTTGTACTAGTATGTACTACAACTTTAACTGCGTTTCAATAATTATAATAGACCTCAAGTTTGTTGTCATTCCTCTGTTCAGTTCAGTTCAGTTCAGTTTAGTTCAGTTCTTACAACCATTAACCATGCACTTTCGTGCGCTGATTTTGGTTGCTGTCTTTTGGTTGCCCATTTGGATAAGATAGCAAGATGATTAGAACGTTGAGAGCAAATTTAAGCGGAAGGTATATTTTCATAGACTGAAGTTACAAGAATAATGAGTAGATGCATGAGCGCCACTGTTTGAGACACTCAGCCATATCGCTCAGTGTCTCTAGCCGCCGGTGACCATGATCTGTGGGTCCCTATCCAGGGAGCCTAACGGGATTTGTGTGAACCAGTCTTCTGGTCAGGGTTTTCATACCCTCATGCCAGGTTTTAGCTTGACCGCCCTCCACTTTTTCCCAACCTCTACCTGC